GAGCTCCATTTTATGTTGACGATATTTATAATTCCTTTCCAATATGCATATTTAATTTTAACATATATCATCTTTCTTTCTTTTTTATACATATATACATATAGTCATTGTGCTTTTAAACCCACCCCCTCCCCCAGCCTAGTTTTGGCTGAGATGTAGACCTGGTTACAATTCCCCGCTATTCTCATCACTATATTTATATAATTATACATCCTGACATGCCCGCAATTTGTGATTCTGTCTTTAAATCTCAATAGTTTCCCATTGTGAGTATATATCAGGGTACATGTTGCTCCTAATGAATAACTGGATTTCTTTTGAAGCTTGGCTCGAGGCTAATGATTTAATTAGGGCATCCGTGGGAACCCTGGAAGCGAGCAGAGAAGGGATAAAGGAACATCTTTCTCTCCCTTGGAAGCACCAACTCAGATGCCTCCGACTCAAGGGGGGACCAGAGAGGAAAAACAACCAAATTCAAAGGTGGACTTCAGCTCAAAAAAGTTCACTTAATGACCAAATTTACAACAGCACTGAAGAAAATGACTTTTTGCAAACTTATGGTGGTTGCAAGGATTTCCCTGCAATCACGGGATTTACTTTTGGATGCTGGTTCACTTTTATGACGGTGGCCGCATCCCAGGGTCATATGATTCCCCTTTGGCGACCTCCTCACCAAACCAAAATCAGTGGGGAAGCCAGATTCACTTAACAACCGTGTTACTAATCGAAGCACTGCAGTGGTTCGCTTTAACCAATGAGGCAAGGAAAGTCGTAAAGTGGGGCAAAATACGCTGAAGAAATGTCTCACTCAGCAACCTAAGTTCTGGGCTCAATTGTGGTCGTAAGTAGAGGACTACCTCTATTTTACATTGACAGAATCTTGCAAGTCTGAAGGTACAATACTCCCCCCCACCAAAAAAAACTCTTTTACAGCCTGAGAAAGTAAGGTGGATCCCTTCTGAGCCTATTTCTCCTCCCATTATGCAGCTCTAGGCTAAGCTGCCTCTTATCTGACTGTTCTCTAAAGCTACAGTGAATATTTCAATTCTGAAAGTACAAAACTCCCACTTGTGTCTTTTACAGCCTGAGAAATTAGAGAGGGTTTCTTCTGAACCTTTTTCCTTGCCTGTTATACAGTTATGGGCTAAGCTGTCTCTTATCTGACTGTTCCCTAAAGCTTCACTAATAGAATCTTTCAATTCTGAAAATACAAATCTTCCACTTGTGTCTTTTACAGCTTGAGAAACTAGGGAGGGTTTCTTCTGAGCCTTTTTCTTTGCCTGTTATACAGTTATGGGCTAAGCTGTCTCTTATCCTACGGTTCCCTAGAGCAGTGTTTCTCAACCTTGGCAACTTGAAGATGTCC